TTCCGCGACAACCGAGAAGCCAAGAAACGCAGCGAGTCGGCCTTTCCGTCGACGCACAAGACGCTCTCGATGCCGTTCTTAACGCCATAAGTGAAGCATTGCACGGTTGTTTTACGGCACACCACTTTGCCATGTGAACGTCGCGACGACCACCGTGATGTTGTCGGTGCTCCGGCGATGCGCTTTGGCGAGCTGCATGAGGGCGTGGCTAGCGGTGGTTGCCGATGTCATGCCGTGCACATGCGCGTGCACAGCCTTGTTGGTCACCATGGCCCACAGCCCATCCGAGGCCAGTACCACCATCGTCTAGTCCATTGGCCATGCCATATTATCCCATTTGGATCATACTATAGCGAGACATACGTGAGCAGGGTGGAGCTCGACGACTGTACACTCGGCGATGGCACGGACAACGCCGACTTGCTTGCAGTCGAGGTCCCCAATCACTTGCGTGCACACGACGCCGCCAGGATACACGCGCAACGGTCGGCCCACGACCCCGGCTTGCCACGCGTCGTGGATCTAGGATAGTACCATTTCCATGCATGCAATCGATTTGCATGGTTGAGACGAGGCGGTACCTCTCGGCACCACCGACGCCAGAGCGGCAACTCCGACGTTGGCGCCCGGTACGTATTGCGGAACGCTACGAACCCGCCGTTGTCGTAGACCAGGGGTTGCTGGTCGGCGCGCGACGCCGTTTGGTCGCGCGAGAGCGGCTCCCAACGCTGGTGACTCATCAAGACGGCGCGCGAGTCGCCGAGGTTGGCGCACACAAGCGTTGGCGACGCATCCCCGTCAAATTGCTCGAGCACGACAACAATCGCGGTGGAGCCATCGATTGCACCGCCGTGACGCCGCGCGAGCTCCAAAAAAGCAGCGTCGAGCCGCCGCAGCGTCGAGGCGAGTGCGTCCGACGTGCTCTGGCCGTACTGCGGGTCCTGGACCAAGTACGAAAGTAGGTGGGTCTTAAGAAAAGTTGCGGCGCGGACGCCACCGTGGCCGTCAAAGACAGCAAAGAGCGACCGACGACGTGCAATGTCACAAGGGGTACGCAGCGGCAGGTCGAGTGCAATGCAAAACTCGTCTTCGTTGTCCTTGCGAGTATTGCCAATGTCCGTAGTAGCGTAAGCGTCGACCACCGTCAACGCCGGCTGCATGTCGTATTTTAATCTCTGGCGCGGCCTAAGACGTTTTATATATTCGTGAAACCTCACTTGGTTCGGCGTCGACGTGGCGAGTGGGTCCCATTGGCTGGCTTTGGCTCATCAGGAGGAAACGAGCTTGCTCTCAGAGATAACACGCGTGTGGGAAGATCGATCGTTCAATACAGTGTAGTCCAACAACACGGATGAAATGATAACCAACGAATCCACACATGGCAAAAACAAATGAATCAACACTGTGGGGTGGATGCAAACTGGTTGTGCGAATAGTTTCTGCGGGGACATGCAGTAAGTGTCGACGGCGCAGAGTTGGTCTTTTCTTTCAGGTCGGTGAAAACTCGACTTTCAGTCCACACTGCTAATTTGCTAGTCGAGTCTTGGACTCCGCTGGGCGATTCCCAGTATCGGTAGCCGCCTTCAAAGCGGCCACTCTGAGCGAGACGCATTTGTCGTTTCGTCTTGTAAATTTCGGACAACTTGTCTTTTTTACCAGCCGTGAAAAGAAAGCCATGCACCCTTGGAGATTGAGCGCTGCAAAATACTCGTTTACACCACGGAAGGATCCGTCGACATCAAGGATCTTCCGGCACTTGCCCGTCGTGCCAAATTATTAAGTGTTGCAAGTTTTGTCACTCTAGTTCAATTCTTACATTATTTTATTCACTTTTATTGTCGGTTCCACATGAATCACATATGAAAGGGTATGCACTCTGCCAGTGTCTTCGCGATGCTGCGAACCACGATTCGGATGCCCAATTCGATGCAAGACAATATTATGTTTCAAACGTATTAGAAACCAACTTCTCGACTGCTCGCCAAGATTCACAGCAGTTTTCAAATGGCACCTTGTCCAGCATGCCGAAAAAGAAGGCGTCGGCCAGCACAACGACAGCGCCGAAAGGTTCGCCCCTTGTCCGCTCAAGTAACACGGCGCCATTATAAATGTGTAGGGTACCGCTCTAGCAAGCGCTCGAGCCAAGCCTGCCGAGTCGTCCGAAGGAGTCCCTGAACCGGCTCAACCGAGTACCGAAACCAAGCGTCGAAGCACGCGTGGCCGTCTCAAGCGCAAGGCATCGGTCGACATGCCAGAAAATGCCAGTCCATCGACATCGATCAAGTACGAGGACACTATGATCTTGGTCTCCAAGATCTGAGCCAATTTGTGTAGCAAGCCGGCGAAGAAACAAGCTACAAAAAGCACCAGCCACCAAGACGACGACGGTGCAACAGGCGCCTCCGAGGTACGAATAGTCCTGTAATGTACGTTGTACAATATGTCATGAGCCGTAGCCGGCAAACGAAGGACAACTCGCAAAGTGGTAGCGGCAGTGCCGACTCCGATGACGATCGCGGCTGCGTATATCCAACCGTGTTCCGGTACGTCAAGCCCCTCTCGCCGCTCTCCCGCGCGCAATTGTCGTCGTCGGTCGACGACGACAGTGGTAGTGCGATTGCTTTGGTTGTGGGATTTTGCATACGTTTGTCGTAGGAAGCGAAAGTTCCGTGTACTTTCTGGACAGCGAAGAAGACGAGTTATCCGATGACGATGGGGGATGGGGTCTCGACCCTCTCGACCGCGCTCAAAGGTGAGAGCTATGAACGCGTGCGCAGACTCACTAAACATTGCGACACGCGTTTTCGTGTATTTGAGTATTCTTGTCGCCAGACGTTTGATACATATGAAGCGTCAGAGCTAGAAATGTGAGAGGACATCTGCCAGTGCATGGACGGTGATGAGCGATGTTGTCGGATCACATATGTTGGGGATCCTACAGCTTTGTAGTCGGAGCAATATGTTTTCTTTTGCCAGAATAATATACTTTTCACACTCGTTGAAGCCAGCGCTATGCACTCATTGATGCCATCTTGATGGGAAAGCCATGTACAAAACCGGTGTACGCGTCATTGGTAGTAGTACAAGGCCGTTCCATATTATAGCGACCGCAGTCGATGGATAGATGGATAGATAGATAGATAGATAGATAGATAGATAGATAGATAGATAGATAGATAGATAGATAGATAGATAGATAGATAGATAGAT